ACTCATCAAAGACTGAAATTCCTCAGTATCGTTATAGCTTGTAGACATAAATCCGTACCATTCGTTTTGTTATAATGAGCTTCTCTGTTGTCAATTGATCCGAGGAAAAATCTGTTGTCACATTTTCACTGTACTGCCGCAATTACGAGCTGGTAGCTGATTATTTTTGAAAATCCTTGATGCATTTTTTCTTTCCATTCCCCCCTCCCCTCCTCTCTGCGCTCGACCCAACACTGCAGACCAGATTCTTTTCAGTTCTTATTTCTTTTCGCTCTTACGCCACGTTCCCTTTAAACACAAGCGGCTGAACTGCGAGTGGAGAATCACCAGCCGGAATTTTTTCAGTTGTCGGGTACTGCCCTTGTAACATCTTTTGATAAGGTGATGAGGTTGACATGTAAACCTTGAAGACCCCCTCTCATTCATTGTTTTCGAGAGCAAGTATTGAAATGCCCCAATCAGCTGTTGAAAACAGACCACCCACGGCCATGTATCATCCCTCCTAAGGGGCCGACCATTTAACTCTTGAGGGGGAGTGGGTGATTTTGAAAAAAAATTTCCTGAAAGCGCTTGTTGGAAGAAAAAAATTACATGCAGCCCAAATGTAACAGAAAAAAGAGCATTTAGAACAGAAAAAAAATATCCTGCCCGGCAGGTTGCTAGAAAAAAAATTTTCTTGATGACTAGAAATCACCCACCTGCCCCCTTAAGAGTTAAATGGTCGGCCCTTAAAATGATGCAAAAATGATGCAGGAGAAGAAATTTGGGCCGGTGATAACCAGTCACAGTTCGAGAAGTTTGTTATAGTTTTGATGACACAGTAAAGTAGAAGTAGGGAGCGGTAAACGCAGTTATATATATAAAAAATAAATCCATCGTTTGGTCGTCTGAACCCCGTAAGCTGATGCCAAAAAACACACTATGTATTTATTTTCTGGAACATTTTTATTGCTACTATACTGGGATGCTGTAAAGACCAACACTGGCAACTGCCGTTCGGTATCTTCGTGGAGTTACAGCAAAATGAAAGGAACTTCATCACACGGTGCTCTTATATATGTTTGCTCTAACACTGAAAACCAAAGAAAAGCAGAGGAAACAATAAACGTGTTGTTTTGACCAAATAACTTTAAATAATAACCTTTCTGTGCATAAGATGTTGAGGTTCTGACTTGTGTTACTGCACAACAAAGCAAATCCCAAAGTGAAAGTCGAATGTAATCTAAGTTTGCACTGGCTTCGCTTCATCTCGTTCTGTGATTGGTCTACAAAACTCGTGCCACCCTCTCAACCAATCAGATTCAAGACTAAAACCAACTGCGACTTGGTCACAGGTGTTTTCCCGCGCTGAAGGTAATTTGTATATATTTCTTTTAATCTTAAATTCTCA